CCTGTGTTCCCAGTCTCAGGCAATGGGATGTGAGTCCCTAGACAAGGGAGCAGGAAGCTGGGATCTCTCTACTTCCATTCCCCACAGTCAAGGAGGAAGGGAAGAAGATGGGCTCTGGAGAGAGATGGAAGCAGGTCTGAGCCCAGCTCTGCCCTCTTTGAGCTGGGGACCATGGGCCTGTGGGCCAGCCTCTCAAGCTCTCTGGGACTGCTGTCCTGGTCTGTCAAGTAGGAACATTTCCCTCAGAGATGTTGGAAAGGCTGAGAGAAGCCACAGGGGACCTCTCAGGCGAGTGTGTGGTGAGCACTGGAGACAAAGCCCTGATCGCAGCCGCCAGCACTCACGAGGCAGTGCGGGGGGGCAGGCTCTTGTGCACGACACCCCGGCCGCCCTCCACGAAGGCGCTGGGTGGCTTGTGGTAGACAGAGGCCAGCGTGCCGATGTAGCAGATGAGCTCATCCAGGAGCGTGGGCTCGATGAGGTCTGTCTCCTCAGAGATGAGCGGCTTCTCGGCCAGCACCACCTCCTTGGCGGCTACTGGGTCGGTGGAGAGCAAGCGCCAGTAGATGTAGCCGCGGTCCCGCAGGTCCGGGTTATCCGAGTCCTGGTAGGGGGTGACCCAGGCAGGAAGGTGTCACAGGTGCCAGCTCCCAGATGTGCCAGCCTCAGTGGCACCTGGAGGTCTGGTTTGCAATGAGCACAGTGCCCCCTGGTGGTGGTTGGGTACCGACCTGCGTGGCCAGGCTGAGGACCTGCTGCACCAGCTCCTGCGTCTCTGTAGGCTTCTTCAGGAAAAGCTTGACAATGGCAGTCAGGAGCTGCAGCTGGACCTTGGGGAGGCAGAGGGGGAGAGAGAGGAGCTTTGCGGGGGGCCAGGAGAGACAAACAAGGGCCTCAGGGAAGAAAGGGGACCCACCAGATCCTCAAAGCAGAGGCAGCTTCGCTGGATGCTGGGGCTGGTCAAGGGACACAGGCTGTGCCAGCAAAAGCTGCTGGTGCAGTCTGGACTGCGCAGCCCTGGGGTCACCAAAATCTGTCAGGGCACTCCTCAGAGCTCTGAGCCCCACAGAACCTAAGGAGTTCATGGTTTACAAAGAGGGGGGCAGGATTAGAGGGACCCCTGGGAGCCAGAAACATGGCTCCTGACCATGGCCAGAACCTAAGCCCCTGGATGAGGGTGGACGTGGGACACTCAGCAACAGCAGCCTGCAGGGGAAGTGGAGAGCAGGAGGCAGAATGGAGGCGTGGTCTCTTGGGATGAAGTGTTCCTTAGCCCTTGAGCAGTGGCAGACTGGCAGGGGGCAGCTGTTTACAGAGGTTGGCTGCATGACTAAGAGGAGGCGCCGACTTGTTGGAGGGCGCTGGGAGCAGCTTCCTGTAAGTTTGGAGAATGGCAGCTCACATGGAGCCAGAACCAGCTCCCTCTTAATGTGACCCAGGCTGAGAAGTCACTGAACGTTCCTTGTGTGTAAACTTACAAGAATGATGACGGAACCGCATAGGGTTTGTGGGCTGTCAATAAGGTCACAAGTATACAGAACCTCCTGAGTCTCTTGCACCAAATTCAAATATACAACAGAAGCCCGAGTGGCATAGTGATGACGCATTGGGCTGCCAACAGCAAGGTCAGCAGTTTGAAACCACCAGCCTCCGTGGGGGAGAAAGATGAGGCTTTTGACTCCAGTAGAGAGTTCCAGACTCAGAAGCCTGCAGGGGCAGTTCGGCCTGTCCTCCAGGGCGGCTCTGAGTCGGCACTGACTCCTTGGACCGGAGTTCTTTTGAGTGAGTCATCACTGTCCTTCTGGCTCCTCCCCAGCCCAAGTGTCCTTGCCTGGATTCACTCCAACGGCCAGGTAGGCTTGGCTCCAGAGGGGGCCTGGCCACAAGTCCAGCGGTGCTTCTTCCACCTGAGGCATAATGCGTCATGAACCAATGTGCTCTCTGGTAGGGATGCGCTGTCCCTACCATCATCCCAGGACAGGATGGTCAGACAAGGCTCAGTGGAGGCTGGCTCATCTGCAGCAGGCCGAGAAAAAGACTAGACCATCCTCTTTCCTATGGGCAGGAGCCATCCAGGGGCGGAGGCCAGCACAGGTGAGCCTCCTTCTCTCAGAGACCACAGAGGGGGCTGGTGCTGCCTGTGCAGGCAGCGGGGTGGGAAGTGGCAGTGTGTGGGGGGGTGCCACCGGGAGAGATTTACTAGTATTTGTGACGGGCAGGTGTAGTTTGTGTCCACCTAGCATCTGGGAGAAAGGCAGCGCTCTCCACTCGCACCCCTAAAGAGTCTTAGCCACTCACCAAGGCAGTCCTATCCCATCCTATAGGGGCTGTTCTGAGTGGGCAAGGACTTGCTGGCAGGGAGTTTGGTTTGAAGCATCCACCCTGTCTTTGGGGACAGCAGTTCTGGCTTTCCTTTGGAGGCTCATCCTCTGCCCAGTCAATCTAAGGGATAGGGAGCAGGGCCTGGTGGATAACTCACGAGGTGTGGGAACAGGCCCTGGGACTCCTGCTGGAACTGAAGGAACCAGCTCTTTCTCTGGGAGCTGCTGAGCTAAGGGGCACCCAGCCTGGGACTGCTGACTCCTGAGGGCCCGTTGATGGGAGTGGGCATGAGCAGAAGCCACCAGGAGTCACAGAGGCAGTGCTAAACCAGAAGCGCAAGGAGGAGGGTGCTCCCCAGTGCTGCCACTTACAGGGACCATTCAGTCCTCTTATGACTCTGGACCACTTTGCTTTGGAAATCAATGATTTCAGCCCAGTGATCACCAAGGCTCATTTATGGGCGGGGCATGTGCTAAGAACAGAACTCCATTTAACTTCCACAGCAACAGGAGGAGGGTCTGTTACCCCTCATTTTACAAATGAGGAAATAGGCTCTGAAGGTAAAGAAATTAGCCTAAAGCCACAGAGCCAGGAGGTGGTAGCAGAAGAGGGGCCTGAACTTGGGACCTCAGATTTCAAAGCCCACGCCCTTATTCACATGGTTACATTGCCCCCACTGGCAGCTAAGATGTCTGTGTTTACGAATACAGAAAGCAAAACAGCTCCCAGTTCATAGAAAGCAGAATAACTCACTGGTATCCAGACGAGGGCGACTCATAGCAACCCTGTAGGAAAAGACAGAACTGCCCCTAGGGGTTTCCATCTACAGGAGTAGAAAGCCTTGTCTTTCTCTCTTGGAGCTTCTGGTGGTTTCAAACTGCTGACCTTGCTGTTAGCAATCCAACTTGTATCCACTCCGCCCCCAGGGTTCCTCATGAAGAGCAAACACCCAGAAAAGATGTTCACCTTAACGCCTAACGGAAATGAAACTGCCCTGTGGTGCCCTGGTGGCTCTTGTTGTCATTAGGTGTGTGCCGTTGAGTCAGCTCTAATGACAATGTGCTGATGTTCATCAGAACGAAACACTGCTTGGTCCCACATCTTAACAACCGTTGCTATGTTGGAGCCAATCGTTGGAGCCATTGTGTCATGATGTCCTTCTCCAGGAATTGGTCCCACCTGATATGTCCAAAGCATGTGAGACGGTCTTGCTAGCCTCACTTCCACGGAGCATTCTGACTTACTCCTTCCAGGACGTATCTGTCCATTCTTCTGGAAGTTCATGGTACATTCAAGATTTTTGCCAACATTATAACTCAAACACATAAATTCATCTCCGATCTTCCCTATTCAATGCTCAACTTCGTTTTTTGCTTTTTTTCCCAATGATCAACTTTCACATGCATGTAAGGCAACTGATGATACTGGGCTTCTCCACTCTCTTCCCACATGATTACTGTGTATTTCTTTTGGGTTGGGTCAGGTGTATCTTAGTCCTCTAAGCAACAACTTGGCTTTCTAACATTGCAGAGGCCTTTTGTAGCAAATTTTCCCAACGCAATTTGTCCTTTGATTTCGTGAGTGCTGCTTTCAGGAGCACTGGTTGCGGGGCATCCAGGTAAAATGAAATCCGGGACAACATTAATCTTCTGTTTTCATAATATTGCTTAGTGGCCCAGTCGTGTGAAGTTTATGTTGAGCTCTCATCCATACTGAAAACTGTACTTTCGATCTTCATCAGTAAAGACTACAAGCCCTCTTGGCTTTCAGCAAGCAAGGCTATGTTACATGCCTAGCAGAGCTGTTCAAGAGTCTTCCTCCAGCCTCGATGCTGCATTCTTCACAGTCCAGCTTCTTGGATTTTTGCTCAGCATACAGATAGAATAAATAATATGCAAGTATTTACCACCGACACACACCTTTCCTCATTCACTTCTCCTTTTTCTGTTCCAATGACTGCTTCGTGGACCAGGTACAGGTACTGCATGGGCACAATGAAGTGCTGTGGAATTCCCATTCCCCACATTCTTTATCTGTAGTTTGTTAGAATCCACAGGCAAATACCTTTGCATAGCTAGTGGAACACAGATGAATATCTTCCTGGAATTTTCTGCTTTCAGCCAAGATCCATTAATCAGCAATGACTTCTCTCATTCCACATCCTCTTCCAAATCCAGCTGGTATTTTTGGCATTTTACTGTCAATGTACTAACTGATTTTGAGTTACTGTCATCAAAACTTCACTGGTGGGTGACATGAATGATACACTGTTTGATAATTTCTACATTCTGTTGGATCACCTTTCTTTGGAATAGGCATAATGATGGATCTCTTCCAGTTGGCTGGCTGGGTAATTGGCCGGATGAGTGAGTGCTTACAGTGCTGCACTGGTCTACCTCAACATCTCAATGGGTATTCCATCAGGTCCCCGAGGGCCTGGCTTTGCCACTAACGCCTTCAGCGCAGCTTAGACTTCCACTTTCAGTATCAGTGGCTGTGTTTCTTCCTTTGGTTCTTCCTGCACCCTTCAATGTTTCACCCATAGGATCATTCGATATTGTACTCCAGACTTGAATGTTCCCTTCAGTTTCCTTCAGCTTGGAAAATGTTGCGTGTGCTCTTTCTGTTTGGGTTCTGAGTCCAGGGCTCTGCACGTTTCACTCTAATACTTTTCTTTTTTTGAACACGAACACAGTCCCCCACTACCACAGATTGTACAGTCGAGTTTCCCATTTGGGGACAGCACAGGGGTCAGCACACCCGGAGTGCAATGGGTGAGCCTCACCCTGGGAAAACCACCTTGGTGATCATGGTATCTCCCCTGCCAGGTAAATAGTAATACTCTTCTTGAGCTGCCCTTTGAAATAGTCTATTTGGCTTTTTTACTTCATCCTTTCACCTGAGCTTTCACATTCTAGAACAAGGTTCAGTGTCTCTTATGCCATTCCTGTTGGTTGGCTTTTTGCTTTTAACATGTATAATGAATGGCCTCCCACGAGTCATCTGGTCTTTGGTCATTTCAGCTTACTTAATCAATTGCACTCTTGAGATAGTCTCTAAATTCAGGTGGGAAACACTTACGGTTGTACTTTGGCTCTTGTGGACTTGAACTTGCAGGTGAGCAACAAATGATCTGTTCGGCTGTCGGCCGCTGGCTTTTTTCTGACTGATGATACTGGGCTTCTCCACCCTCTTCCCACATGATTCCTGTGTATTTCTTTTGGAGAGGTCCATCACGTGCAGAGGTGTTTGCAATGAGCAAGTTATTGATCTCTCAAAATTCTAGCACACAATCGCCAACATTGGTCACCAAGGCCTTATCTTCCAACCACTGAGCCTTCTACCTTGTTTCCACCATTTACATTCCAATCACCAGTGATTACCATCACGTCATGATCGCATGTTTGATCGGTTTCGGACTGCAGAAGCTGGTACAAATCTTTGACTCATCTTTGAGGTGTGTAAATCTGAGTAATAGTCACAATAACTGGTCTTCCCTGTAGGTATATGGCTATTATTCGATTATCGACAGCACTGTATTTCAGGACAGATCTTGAAAGAAATTTTAAAATATAAATCAGTTAATTATTGTTGTCGTTAGATGCTGTTAGGTTGGCTCTGACTCATAGCGACCCCATACACAAGAGAACAATACACTGGATGGACCATCTTCATGATCCTTATGCTTGGGTGCATTGCTGCGGCCCCTGTGGCAAGCTTTCTTGTGGACGGTCTTCCTCGTTTTTACTTTCCCAAGCATGATGTCCTTTGATGATCTTTTCCAGGGGCTGGTCTCACCTGATAACACGTCCCAAATATAGGTGCCAAAAGCAAAAATGAGATGGCCCATGGGGTCTCAGACTCTTGAATCGGTATGTACTGACTGGGACAACCTCGGGTGGTGGTGGTGGTGGTATTGCCAGAGTGGAGCTGCCCTTGAGGTCTGGAGCCTCCCCTGGGGAGCTGTGCTCTCTGAACAGGGTGCTCCTACTGCGGGCTGGGGGACACGGACAGTGTCCCCAGGGCATCAGGAGGGGCGGGTTTCGGGCGGGGTGCTCACCTGGGTGCTCTCGTCGTGGAAGCCCTCGAGGAAGCTTTCCAGCAGCTCGTCGGCATTGTCGATGCGCTCCGCGTACTCGCCCACGATCCAGATCATGGCAGCCCGGGCCTCGGGCTCGTCCAGGGAGTCTAGGTTCTCGCACAGCGTGGCGATCACACTCTCATACCTGGGAGAGCACGCACAGCTGACAGAAGCACAGCAGGAGCCAGAGAGGCAGCAGCGCCCTCCAGCTCCACAAAAGGTGGCAAGTTTAGGGGATATGAGTCCTAGCTGTCACATTTTTGTTCTTATTTTGGCCTAGGTAGTAGAGGGGCAGCTCAGGAGACATTTTTTTTAATCGTTTTATTAGGGGCTCATACAACTCTTATCACAATGCATACATACATCAATTGTGTAAAGTGCATTTGTACATTCATTGCCCTCATCATTCTCAAAACATTTCCTCTCCACTTAAGCCCCCGGCATTAGGTCCTCATTTTTCCCCTCACTCCCCGCTCCCCCCTCCCTCATGAGCCTTTGATAATTTATAAATTGGTATTTTGTCATATCTTGCCCTGTCCAACGTCTCCCTTCACCCACTTTTCGGTTGTCCGTCCCTCAGGGAGGAGGTCACATATAGTTCCTTATAATCGGTTCCCTCTTTCCAACCCACTCTCCCTCCACCCTCCCAATATCGCCACACACACCACTGGTGTGATCAACCGCCCTGGATTCCCTGTGTTTCCAGTTCCTATCTGTACCAGTGTACATCCTCTGGTCTAGCCAGACTTGCAAGGTAGAATTCGGATCATGATAGTGGGGGCGGGGAGGAAGCATTTAGGAACTAGAGGAAAGTTGTATGTTTAATCACTGCTACATCACACCCTGACTGGCTCGTCTCCTCCCCGAGACCCCTCTGCAAGGGGATCTCCAGTGGCCTGCAAATGGGCTTTGGGTCTCCACTCCGCACTTCCCCTCATTCACAATGATGTGCTTTTTTGTTCTGATGATGGCTGATACCTCATCCCTTCGACACCTCGTGGTCGCACAGGCTGGTGTGCTTCTTCCATGTGGGCTTTGTTGCTTCTGAGCTAGATGGCCGCTTGTTTACCTTCAAGCCTTTAAGACCCCAAAAGCTCTACCTTTTGATAGCTGGGCACCATCAGCTTTCTTCGCCACATTTGCTTATGCACCCATTTGAGGAGACATTTTTTTAAAGCAAGAATAGACAGGCTGTTTTTCAGAAATATGAGGTGACTTCAAGAAGGTTTAGGCAAATTCCTTTATCTTTGGATCCTGTTTTCCCAAGAACTTTGTGAAGTGTCCTCACACTCTTTGAGGGTCCACTTCCCCCAACCCAAGTTGAGCCAGACTGCCCTCTCCTGGGATGGGGGTGGGGCACATACTTGTTGGGGTACTTGCGGAAGATGTCCTTGATGACCACAATGGCTTCCTGGACCACATAGTTGACCTTGGTCTGGATGAGATCAAGCAGCGTGCTCACACAGCGCTCTGCGGATTGCTGCATGGAGAGAGGGGCAGAAAGAGAGTGGGCATGGCCCTGCACCCATTTCCAGCAGGGCTGTGCTGAGCATTACTTTAGCCAAGGGCTCAAAGTCACCCTGGTTCACCTTCCTTGTCAGAGTCAGAGAACAGAAGCGCTCCTCTGATGACAGGAGGAGGAACAGAAGGACCACCTACAACCTGGGGAGGCACCAGGGAAGCGCTGCAGGCTAGGGGCGTTAACCGAGCTTCTGGGAGAGGGCAAGGTCTCCAGTCCACCTTCCAGGTGAGTCTTTCCAGCCCTCCTCAGGGGCAGCCTGAGGGCAGCAACTACAAGGCCTCTTTCATGAATAGGCTCCTGGTACCAAAACCACACGGAAAGTCCCCACGGGTCCCTCTCTCTTCTGTTTCATTCCAACATAGTATCCTAATGTTTGGAGGGGAGACTCCTCAGGGGTGACCAGCTGTCCCAGGGCCCTTAGCCCCCAGTAGACTGGTTTAGGGAGAGTCTGGATTGGCAGACAAGGAATCTTTTCATAGGTGGAAAACTGGGGACAGGGAATGATGGATTTGGAGTAGCTCGTGGAGGGAAAGAGCGCACAGTCAATTAACAATCAGCACATGACACATGCTCAAATGTCTACCTGGTGGTGCTCTGGCCAGAAAGCTCCGGGAGTGAAAGCTACATCTACCAGAGCCCCGGCTAGTGACTGCTCCATCGTCTCAGCTAGCAGAGCGTGCAGGAAGATAAGGAAAAATTTAAGTGGTACGACTCTAAGGCCCAAGAGCTTAGCCTGTACAAGGGGGGGCGGGGGGTGGGTGGTGGTCTAGGGGTTCTGGGGTGACCCTCAGCCTTCCTAGACAGGGGCAGCTAGCTGATTCTGCTAGAATTGGATGGTCTCCAGGTTTCAGGCAGTTCTAGGGCCTCACCTCCACTTTGATGGCACAGCGGCCAATGGCTCGCACAGCCTTCCGCACAAAGTCCACATCCACCTCTGTCGCATACTCTTTCAGTTCTGCCAACACCTGGGCCCAGAGAGAGAAGTGAGGGCTGGGGGAGCAAGCATTTTGGGCAACTTGCCTGGGAAGTGTATATGCAGACCCCCCCAGGGGAGGGAGGGACTTCCAGGTACCCAGAGTGGGATGCTGCAGAGGATTGGTGGGGCAGGCGGGCCCCACGCTCCTCCTGTTGAGCTGGCTGACCCACTCCCACTTTTCACATGGATGGAGCAAAGGCTGAGAAAACTCCTCAGTATAAAACCTGAGAGTTGACCATGGCTAAGGGTTCCCAGGCGCTGTCCCCGGGCTCAGTTCTCTTTCTGAGCACCAGCCACTGGCCTGCTGGACCCCAAACCCACGCCCCCTCCACCTCCAAATCCATGCTGCCAACCTGGGCGATGTTGGCCTGCGAGGCCAAGCGGATCATAATGTCCAACTTCTCCAGCTTCACGTAGATGGGGTCATTGTACTTCACGAAGAAAACCTTCATCTCGTGCTTCAGGATTTCAGGCCTGGGGGTGGGGGGTCCCCAGGAGGGCGAGAAGCCAGACATGAGCAGAAGGGCGCTCTAAATTTGCTGGGCCCCTTCTCCTGGGTCCTGAGTCACATGTGCCTGAGGACCCACTGACTGGCCTGAGCAAGGCTCAGGTGGCCACTGTGTGATAGAGCATTGTGGGTAGAAAACAGGGGTGCAAACCAGAGGCAGCAGGGGCACAAGCTATGAACTCCGGCCTATGCTTCCATGCCCATGATATAGCAACGGCAGTGTGCAAAAAGCAGCCCCTCATCCTTGGGAAGGCCTGGATTTAGGGAGTGGTCCCCCACACCCCCCTTATATGGGTGGGTGACTGGGCCCAGACCACTCATACAGTCAAAGTAGTTTACTTGGGACCCCTGCTTTCACCAGGTCTGGCAGAGAATGTCCATGTCATCGGACTGAAATCAAACTCACTGCCGGCAATGCAAATGGGACTCCTAGCATCAGGGAGGGACTGCCCCTGTGAGTTTCTGAAACTGTAGCTCTTGACGGGAGTCGAAAGCCCTGTTTGGCGTGCCTGTGAGGGAGGCAAGACCCCAAGCTGTGCTACTGGAAGGCAGGACTTCTGCAATCAGGACTTGTCAAGACCAGGTCAGACCATGCCCCAGTGACAGCGATCCCTTCTTAAGAGGCTTACAGTGTCCAAGAGAGCACAGGGACCCTGTCACCTGAGTGGCTGCTCTGCAGGTCACTGCAGCTTATGGAGGCCAGAGCCCTGGGAGCGCCCACTCTAATCCCTCACTCAGGCCTCCAGACA